CATTTTCATTACATGGACACAGTTATGGAAATGTTTATTCTCATTCATACGTTTCCTGCATTTGTTCCTTCCATGTTTATTCACTTAATCCCTCATAACTATTAGAAGGGAACGATTTTGATATGTAACCATTAACTGAAATTAAACAAACTGAACCAACAGTAGTGTACTTTTTCTTCAAAAAAGGTAAAAGCTATTCTGAAAACATATAAAAGAAAGCAAAAAGAGTTCCTTTTTTGATTCGAAAACATTTCCTCATCAGAATGTTAAAATCATCCCAGCCCAGAGACATACACAAGTTAATTTTCCACATCTTTTTATTTCACATTAAAGAGATCAAGATATAAAAAAAAACACAGCTTTGCAGTTTAACCCTCAGTTTGCGAACGAACGAACTGAAGCATTTCATACAATCTGCTTCATTTGGAGCTTCACACTGATTTAATCAATCAGAAATTTCCATTATTTTTCTCCTTAAACATCTGGAACTTCACTCATACAAAACTCAACTTGAGTATAGTAGGTGAGTGAGTATTCATAGATATACGTACACTGAATCACATCATCATTGATATATATATAATATCCTATCTGTGATGTAAGAACATCTATGATTTTCCATATTCATCGTTAAACCACAGCACAATAGAAATTTCCTAAAGAAAAAAGATCTCACATATTAATTACAAAGCTGATATGAACAAGTTTCATGTTCAGAGACTAGACATCTTTAGCGAATTTTAAAACCTTGTGTAGCTTTGGGCTTTTTCTCTACATTTCCCAATTATTATACATGGGGGAATGATTATATAAAGTCCCCTTTTTCAAATCCCTTTCAACTTTTTCTAATCTTAGAGAATATTGCAATTGGTAGTGACTAGATAACATACAAATATACAAATAGAACAGGAGTACACAATTCTATTCCCTTTAGATAAATCAAAATTAAAATCCGGTGGTATATATATATATATATATATATATATATATATATATATATATATATATAACCAAGAACGTATCCAATACCAAAATAAAATTCTGTCACCAGCATTTATTTCTTGACTTCCTTTCCCCACATAAAAAGCCTATAAACTGTTGATCTAAACTGGACTACATCACAAAATATGAAATATGTTGCAAGAATTCATTGTGTATATACATTTTAGCTACTTTCAAAATGCCTATCATATGCTATAATACTCCTATGTCAACATGGTAATGTGTTTACGCTTCATTACGGTTAATGTATCTGATCATTCAGTGTTAACTGTTCACTAGGCTTCCCATTTTTTGTAATATAAATATACATATTTGTAATTAGAACTTTTTAAGATATCAGAATATTATCAATACCAAGTTAGCATATACGTAGTATGATATGACAGACAGTAAACATCTCAAAATGTTATTTTCATTCAAGGGAGATTGTTATTTTTTCTCTCTTCAAATATAAAAAAAAAAAAACTCAAAAAGAAAAAAAAATCTTCCCGATTGAATAACATTTACTCAGATCTACCTTCTTCATTTAGTAACATAATAAAATCATCATGAAAATGTGTTATGACATATTTCGAGGCTGAAATGAGGATAAGAAATAAGAAATGTGTTATGTATTATGTATCATGTAATTGGTAAATAAATAATTCTACAAACATATTAGGAATGTAAGATATGAGATATTGTTTTGAACTTTTTTTTTCCTTCCTTATTCTGTGAAGTGAATAATTTCCAAAATGAATAAGAACAATTTTTTAAAATCATACAAACAATAGCATGTGAGAAATGAAAGGATAAAAACAAGACTTTAAATAATTAAGATATACTAAAACGACACCAAAAGGGGAAAAAAAAACAGATTTCAACTTAAACGAAGATTTTGGCTTCATGATAAACTTTTCTATCACGCATGCAAGTATTACACATTCCTACACTTTATGACAGTCACTTTAACCCTTTCCTTTCTTTCAACAAAAATTATTAAGGACAAAATTCACACAGGTACATCTGGGTAAAAAGTCTTTTAAGAATAAAAGCAACTGAGGGCTATAAAAGGCAAAATAGATTCAAACTAAAACCAGCTGCAAGTGCCTCTAGCGACAACTGATATTCAGTAAATATATTATATGACTCTGTAACTAGATATACATAATTATTAAATGTTAAGTAGTTTTTCCGCTTTTGAATGGGAGTCTACCTTCCATTACATAAAATCATACCATGTGAAATTCAAAATTAAGTATCTAACACATGATTATTCTTGTTATTTCATTTGGCTGGATATTAGTAGGGTGTGTGTGTGTGTGTGTGTGTGTGTGTGTGTGTGTGTGTGTGTGTGTGTGTGTGTGTGTGTGTGTGTGTGTGTGTGTGTGTGTAAAGGTGAGAGTGCGTGTTTGAGGGTAAGAGAGAGAGAGAGTGTGTGTGTAATATATATATATATATATATATATATATATATATATATATATATATATATATATTCATTAATGTGTGTGCAAAGAAAGGAATGAATGGGAATGAACATGTTCACAGTGCAAAAGCTGTGTCACAGAACCTCAAATATAATAATGTTATTACCAAAGTTCTCATCAGCACTGTTCACAATTCATTCACTATGGACAAAGAAACTGAAAAGTACCTAAAAAAAACTTCTTGACTAGAGGGAAGAAAAAAATCAACCTTTAAAAATAATTTCCTTATCACAATAACCATCTCTCACATCATTCTCATTTCATCGTTTTATTCTTCCTGCATTTTAACATTTAACAAATTTTTAACCTAAAAAATAGTTCTTTTAAAATACATTTCAACCTACAAGAGGTTATCTCTAGTCTCCGGTAGCTTGAGGGACACAATACTACCGAGAAGAAGAACAACTGAAGTGGTTAACATAGGAATCGCCCGGCTCGTGTAGATGAACTGCCCGAAGCACAGGGACCCTAAAACGCCCGCTATCCTGGACGTAGCACTTAGGAACCCATATGCGGTTGTCCTGCAAAAGACCAGAGTGTGCGTGAGGATTAGTTATGTAACTGTCAGAGGATTAGTTATATATCTGTAATAGACGAGGGTGTGCGTGAGGATTAGTTATGTCTTTAAAAGGCGAGAGTGTGCGTGAGGATTAGTTATGTCTTTAAAAGGCGAGAGTGTGCGTGAGGATTAGTTATGTGTCTGTAAAAGACGAGAATGGGTGTGAACAGGATTGATCGTGTATCTGTAGAAGGTGAGAATGTGTGTGTGTGTGTGTGTGTGTGTGTGTGTGTGTGTGTGTGTGTGTGTGTGTGTGTGTGTGAGGATAAACTACGTATTCATTTATTCATTTTGTTTTCATATTCATTACTTTGTCATTGATTTTCCCTTTTCCATTCTCATTAATCATTTAGGATGCTTTTTTTCTCTCTATCATAATACACACCTAATCTGTTTGACTTATAAACATGCAATTGAAACATTATGTTCAAATTTTCACTTTTGCTTCATAGCCAGTCTACAAATTGGCAGTCCACGAAATAGTTATACCTGATATGAGTTGGAAAGGCTTCGGTAGATGCTATGTCTAAAGCATTCCACCCAGATATGAAAATGAAATTGAACACAGCTTCGAAGACAATCACGCCAATCTTGCTGTTTAAAAACCATATGAAGAAAGCTGATATTGAAGATAAAAACATGGACACACCTGGAAAAAAATAAAATAGTTTAAATATAAGAAATGCAATGCATATATTTCTGATTATTATTATTATTATTATTATTATTATTACACATTTTGATTCAGTAATTCATCCAACAATATAAATAATTGCAGTAAAATTATTTCAATAATGAGAAAGAGGCAAAGAGAGTAGGTATAAGAAATCATATCCCAGTTAATAAGAGGAATTGCAAAATACCAAAACTCAGTCAAATTCATCAAAATAAATGTACATATACATATACATTTTTTTCCTTTCTTTTTAATAAATTCAGGCTACGAGAAATCAAGTTAGCAAAATTAAAATAATAATAATAATAATAATAATAATAATAATAATAATAACAATAACAATATCAACAATAATACTAATAATAACAATACTACTACTACTACTAATAGTAATAATAATATCAACAATGATAATAATAATAATAATAATAATAATAGTAATAATAATAATACCAGCAACATCAATCAATAATAATAATAATAGTAATAATAATAATAATAATAATAATAATAATAATAATAATAATAATAATAATAATAACACCACCAACAACAACATCAACAACAACAATAATAATAACAACAAAACAATAATAATAATAATAATAATAATAATAATAATGATAATAATAACAACAACAACACCACCAACAACCAGAAGGCCCAAACCCCGGGCGCCTTACTCATGATTTTGACCCTTCCGATCCTGTCCATGAGCAGGGAGGTGATTAGCGTCCCCGGGATGATGGTCAACTGGCCGATCAGATTCTCCTGAAAAACTTCCTTATAGTGGATGTTATAATCGAAGTCGAGCTTGCACCCTGGCACGTCGGCGCGGAAGATGTTGTTTCTTCTGTCACAGTCAAGGAATCGGTAGTCATAGAGGTCGGTGTCGATGAAGAGGCAGTCTTCGATCATGGAGTATCTGCGTGGGGAGAGAGAGAGAGGACTTAGGTTTTTTTTTAGGGTGAGAAACGGTGCAAATTTGGGGAAGGGGGTGTGATCATGGAGAGAAATGTGTATATATATAATATATATATATATATATATATATATATATATATATATATATATATATATATGTATATATATATACATATATATATATATATATATATATATATATATATATATATATATATATATATATATAGGTATATGACACAAACACAAACACAGTAACGTGTACACAAAAATGAAAAGAAAACTGCCACAGTAAGAAACGAAATATGTATTGTATGTATTGTAATGTATTTCGTTTCTTACTGTGACAGTTTTCCTTTCAAATAGGCATATGTATATGGAGTGTTTTATTATGTCTTTTAGGGTGAGAAACGGTGAAAATTGGGGGAAGGGGGTAATAATAATGAAGAGAAATGTATATATATAAATAGGTATGTGTATATGGAGTGTTTTATTGTGTCTTTTAGGGTGAGAAGCGGCGCAAATTGGGGGAAGGGGGAAGGGGGGTATAATAATAATGAAGAGAAATGTACGTGTGTAAATAGGTACATGTATATGGAACGTTTTATCATATCTTTTAGGGTGAGGGGGGGGTTATGAAGAGAAATGTGTATATATAAATAGGTACATGTATATGGAGTGATTTATTATGTATTAATTACTTTTTTTTTTTTTTTTTTTTTTTTTTTTTTTTTTTTTTTTTTTTTTTACAAGAATTGGTAGGAGTGGATAATCCTATCCGATTACCTCATTGAAGAAATAATATTAATCAACCATAAAAAATAACTGAAATGAGAATAAGATAAAGTAAAGACAAAATGGAAGAAATTAATAGAAAAAATCCTGAAACAAAATAAAAATCTGTAAAGATTAATACCCAATAAAATGAATAGTTAATAAAAAAGACAATAGAATGAAACGAAATAAAAATCTAAAAATAGACACAACCTCCCCTCCCCCCCCCAAAAAAAAAAACCATAATAACAACGACAAAAAGAAACACAAAAAAAAAAAAAACGATTTTCTAAATTTACAGGAAAACAAACCAGTCACTTAACCTCAACCAGTCATCTCCGAACAAGCGCAACCACCTACTTGAAGAAGGTCTTGCTACTCCGCACGTTCGAGAAGAGGCAGTCCATGAAAGTGCAGTTCAGGAAAATCACGTGATTCATGACAACGTCCTTGAAAGTGACGTTGTTGAAAATGACGTCATTGAAAACGCGGTTGTCGAAGAGACTGTTGTCTAATCTCTCATCCATGAATGCTTTTCCTGCAGGGAGGGAAAATATAAAGGAATTAGACAAAGAAAAAAAAGTGTTGATTTGTAAATAATTGCTTAACTACCATAGGAAATGAGGGGCATCGCCACGGGAGGGAAAAATGTAAAGGAAATAGGGAAAAGGAAAAAAAAGTGTTGATTTTAAATCATTGCTTAACTACCATAGGAAATGAGAGGCATCACCACGGGGATACCGGTGGGTAGCTCATACGCATCTCCCGAGTTTTGAGTTTTAAGAGTTTTAAGGAATTCAAATGTTACTTTGCACTCCCTACCTCTAATATTCCAGCACTTCCTACAGAATCTATCCTGTGATCCTTATTCAGTTTACAACATTTGAGATCAATGAAACAAATCAAAGCTAAGACTAAAAAGCACTAAGAGAGCAAGGTAGTTTTTTGGCTAGTGGCCAAAATCTACTTTCAAAATATAAGTTTTAAAAGAAAAATTTTCCAGATCATATTTCTATGATGAATTGCAATAACAGTGAATCCTTCAAGCAGACTCTCGACTTGATATTGTTTGCCACAAAAATTATAATGATGGGCCGTGGCCAAACCATTCATAAATTGTCATCACAATCCATCCATAACGTTTCGCTTCATCCTATAGACAAACCACAAGAATTAACCAACCATCGAAAGAAAATCTGCGGAACTAAGAGACAGGTTTGACATTGAAAGTATCTCTGATATCATACAACAAATGCGTTTTAGATGGTTTGGCCAAGTGGAGAGAATGGACACAGAAAACTAGACCAGTAAGTGTAGAACCTTCATGTTACCAGGTTCCTATGGTAAATGCAGGCCCACCATGACCTAGTAACAAGTAATTCAAGAGGATAGAGATTGGGGAAAGAAAAATATATGGCGCGAGACTGTAATGCGTGGAAAAGAGACCTTAAGAAACCCCGCCCAACCTATGATAGCTTGGAAAAATGGGCGTTAAATGAAGATGATGATGAATATATGAACACAACTTCCTCTATGAAAGCTGTAAGTAGTAAGCACATACTATGGAAAAAAAGGTAAAATTCTAAACTAAAACTAAAGAAACATTATTCCTAAAATTTGATTTTCCTGAATATACGAGTTAATAAGAAACTAATAGAATAGTAATGTCCTACTACACAAGAAAACTTTATACATCTGCACTTACCATCTGTAGTCTGAGCATGTTTGTTATATTCTTCACTTTGCAGAAGTTTTATGTATTCAGGGAACCAGACTGACAGACCATAGAACCTGTAGAAAGATCATTTTTCATAGTAGATACTTTGTCTTATTCAGGTCATAGTCCTTTATATCTTAATTTCTATAGCCATCTTGATTTATCTTTCTCTCTCGTTCTCGCTCTCTCTCTCTCTCTCTCTCTCTCTCTCTCTCTCTCTCTCTCTCTCTCTCTCTCTCTCTCTCTCTCTCTCTCTCTCTCTCTCTCTCGTTCTCGCTTTCTCTCTCTCTCTCTCTCTCTCTCTCTCTCTCTCTCTCTCTCTCTCTCTCTCTCTCTCTCTCTCTCTCTCTCTCTCTCTCTCTCTCTCTCTCTCTTCTCCCTCTCCTTCTCCCTCTTCCTCTCTCTCTCCCACCCACCCTCTCCTTCTTCCTTCTCCATTTCCATCTCCCTTTCCCTCCTGCCACCTCCCTCCTTCCTCCTACCTCCTCCCTTTCCCTCTCCCCTCCTCCCCCTCTCATTTAACAAGCCAACTAACTCACCCAAAAGCACAGGTGAACCACACTATGAGGAGCAGAACTGTTGACTTGAGGTACGGGGGGATGAATAGCTGGAAGAAGAGGCCCCAGAACTGCAAAGAGAAATCATTATTATAAGAAATACATCAGCATTCAGTCATACGAGACTTACACAAGAAAAGGTCGCAAATTAAATCAAATGCCCATTGTAATCCCGAACAAAATTTAAATCCAAAACAAAATTCCTTTATTCAGCAAAACATAATGAGTTAAATCCATGTGGCAAAAAAGGAGAGGAAAAAAGAGGACGCAAATTAAATCAAATACCCATTGTTAATCCCGAACAAAATGAAATCCAAAACAAAATTCCTTTATTTAGCAAAACCTAAGGAGTTAAAATCCACATGGCTAAAAAAAAAAAAAAAAAAAAAAAAAAAAAAAAAAAAGAGAGAGAGAGAAAGAAAAAGGAAAAGAAAAAAGTTTACCTGATCAAGTCCATATGACAGGTCGGAAAAGAAGTTCTTGCCGACGCCCTGAGGAGGTGTGTGTCGCAGGGAACGGTGGGTTCCTGACGGCAGTTCCAGTTCCGTGAGCTGGTATTCGGCTCCTGGGTTTTGTGCGTTATTCCACTTGAAGATTTTCTGCAAATAGCGCTTCGTTGAGGGTGGTTGCACAGGGAGAGGTTTGTTTGTTTGTTTGTTTGGATGTTTGCCTCTGTTTATTTTATTTTCATATGTGTATATATATATATATATATATATATATATATATATATATATATATATATATATATATATGTATATATATATATATACATATATATATATATATATATATATATTTAGTAATGATAATTTCTTGATTATCTCATCTTCCATCTCTCTCTCTCTCTCTCTCTCTCTCTCTCTCTCTCTCTCTCTCTCTCTCTCTCTCTCTCTCTCTCTCTCTCTCTCTCTCTCTTTGTCTGTCTCTCATCATCATCATCCACATATATTCATCATCATTCTCTCAGACACTGAAAGATGTTAAAATCTAATGTTTCTTACAATCTGTAGGAATTGAAAAACATAAAAATACATAAACACACGCACACACACACACACACATACACCATGTCTGCAAATGTACAATATGTCTATTCTAATCATTCAATGATATCACAGTATTCGTAATATAAACCCCAAACTAATAAATCAGGAGAATGAAAAATTACAATCACAGTTTAAATCCACATTATAAATCTGAAGAAAAAAATCTTATCTTCATAGTACAAGACCGGGTACTTGGCCGGTGTGAAGGGTATTAGTTGTTCCCTTATACATGGGTGAACAGGGTAGTAAAAGCTTGGTAGCTTGAGACTCTTTATTTTCTAAGAGTTAAGCACACAGTGATATGAACACACGCGTGACAATCTTGGATTAGCGCGGTCAGCCTGGCGAGGGGGCGCGTAAGTGACCTGAGCCCTCCCGACCTTCAGGCCGTCGGCCAGGCGACCGACCTTGACCAGACAGCGGCGGGGCACTGACTCTCTTTGACCGGGGTCCAACGCGGGCCTTAAGTATCCGACCTTCGCGTGGGGAGGCGAGGGACCGCCCATCCACTGGGCGTGGGTGACACGTGGCCAAAGTTGACGTGGGGGTACCCACGTAGCTAACGAACCCATGTGCCCTAAGCACGCTTAATACACGGTATAACCGGTTTCGATTATATCTTCGTGAGAAATACACGATATATTCCTGACGAAGAAACCGGTCAAATACATCTCTTGTATCGTGAAGACATTCATTCTCATTCATACCTCCTTCCTATATTTGTCAACATGAATACGGTTCATATTACCTTATATACCATGATGGCTTCAACGTCACGACCCTTTTCGAGCAAGAACCGCGGTGACTCCGGCATGAAGTAGAGCCCGATGACAGCAGCAAAGGAAGGGAGGGAACACACCACCAGGAAAACGCGCCAGGAGCTGAAGTGGTGCTGCTCGTCCAAAACTACTGTGATACCTGTTCAGTGGGAGAGTCTGGGTTATGTGTGTTCATTCCGCGAAGTAGATTCTACCTTTTATTATTATTATTATTATTATTTAGATGGCGAGCGTGTAAAAACGATTAGTTGGTGGTAAGGGCGTGTTTGTGTGTGGGGGAGAGGAGGGGAAGAAGAGGGGATGTATGTGCGTGAAACAAACAGAAAAAAACGTCTAAATACTTTTGTATACTGCATAAAACGACACAACTGCATAACGCCTTTTTTTTCTTTTTTTCTTCTTGTTTTTGCCACAATCGCCAGTCTGATTTATTCATTATCTCGCCTCATGTAAATTATTCCACCATTTTACCCCAAACGGGGCAATTCTTCATTTCTGATCTGCCTCGTTGCAATCCACACCCACGTGGTTCACAAAAAAAAGAGTCGGATGTAATATAACTAAAAGCTGCATAGGATTGTTGAAAATAATGGTAAAAAATTTTGTATATGTGACCAAGAGTAAAAGCGAACACTTTTTCACTAGTATATCATCAACTCGATAGGCAAAGCGAATTTTTCTCGCAGCAGCTTGACTACAACAGTGGCGGTTTAAATTAAATATTAACGGATCTTTGAAGTCTCGGGCAGGCAGGCGAAACATTTAAGGGAGAGCATATGCTTTTTTTAGGTGAAAAATGAACATTTCCATGATAATGAGATAAACACGCTATAAAATCCTCCAAGGTTCTGGCAATATCGTGGCATCATTTGGAGACATTATCTTGCTTCTAATTAGTGTTTAAAGGGTTTAAAGGGCGAGGGCGTGGTTTGTTTACATTGGTTTGTTTACATGACGCTGCGAGAGGTACATTGTTTTTTTCGGCATGTTTGTAGGTTTTTTCTTTATATTTTTATACCTAATCTTAGTTATAATAAGCAGTGACGTCTGACAACTTTTCTGAAAGCGATCACAGTACAGCTTCGCCGCTGCTCAGCTGATTGGAGGGAGATTTAAAGAGAGAGAGTATTGTTTTGGTTTCTGCGTCGCCTTTCCTCGCAACAATATCGCATTTGGACCATCATTATGTTGATATAGATCAACAGAAGTATCTACAGAATGGGGAGAGTAAAGAAACACATTGCAGAGAAGCGAAAACAGGCCTTGAAAGCTGGAAAAGCGAGGCGTGATAAACAACAAACTCTGCCTCCACCACCACCACCTGTTCCACCCAAACAACAAACTCCGTCTCCACCACCACCACCCACGAGTGCACAGAAACGGAAGTCACTTGTAACACAGGACAGCAGCCAAAGCTATGGCTTGTAATAAGACCCCTGCATCCCACTCAAGTATGCTGGTTTACTTTCATCTGTCACAGAAAGAACAGGATCAAGTAAAAGCAGTGTACGATAGACTTACGACGGATGAAATGATGAGTAGGTGCATAAAAGGACTGACACAGAATAGGAATGAACATTTACACTCTAGGATATGGAGATTATGCCCGAAACACAGAAATGCATCTCCAAGAATGATCAAATTTGCAACAGCCACTGCAATCGCCAACTACAATGCAGGCTACTTAGGCAGTAATTTCAACCATCTTCTTGGCATTGATTTCACCACATCTATGGAAACTTATCTCAAAGAGAAAGATAACAAAATGGACTCCCCTATCAGGAGGAAAATGAGGAAGAAGTTCATCCGAAAAGCGTTAGAAGATTATGCTGCTGGAGGCTTCTAAGGAAAATACACCTGTTCCGGGAAGAAAAATGCCGTTTTCTCAATTGCAAGTTATCGTTCTTTAAGTTCCTATTTTATAGCCATTTTTCATCCAATTACCTTCATTTTGGTATTGATTTTTTTGTCATTAAATTGTACACAATTTTAATGGGCCAAAATTAACATTTGCACAGAGTAAATATTTTTAAATGCATACAAAAGCAAAATTTTAGAAAAAAAATTGCGATAGCATCAAAAATAAAATTAGGTTAGGTTATATTACAACATATCTGCGAATGTTTTGTATTAAAAGTTCTTATGAAGGGTTAAGCTACTCACATAAGTAATTGTAAAAGCATGCTCCAAATACTTTCCGTAAAATAGGGTTTTAAATATAAGGCTTTTTCTATACCGATTTTTCCCTATTTTATTTTTTTTCTCCATTTCTTTTTCATGTATCATCCTGAAACGTTCTACACACGTGAGTAGGTACATAAACTTACACTGATTAAAATTTCATGTAAATCCATCCATTTTTGTTTATTTCATACAAAAAAGCATATGCTCTCCCTTAATAACTTGGGTGTGATTATTAAAAAGGTATTAATTTATAAATGAGTAAGGTTCACTGTAAATCAGGGTTGTCATATAACATTGTTCATGTCAAATATACCCACAATTGGCACTGGAAACCGTTGTTTGGCAATTTGACTTCAAAAAGGACTAATTCTGGCCCATGTGAGTCTTTCTAGTTTCCTCTATGTTTGCCAACATTAAACATTAAACTAAGCGCATGGATTTGGTATTCATTCGGACACCAAAATGGCTTCATTTAAGTAAAACAAAAATTAAAAGGGATATGCATGGTCCTTTGAGAAAAGTGATGGAAGATTTTTAAAGGCTCATCTCAGTCATGTTTACAGGATATTTTCTTTCACAGGCATCTAGATCTACAAGACAAAAATAGATATGTGTGTATGTATGTATGTGTGTGTGTGTGTGTGTGTGTGTGTGTGTGTGTGTGTGTGTGTGTGTGTGTGTGCGTGCGTGCGTGCGTGCGTGCGTGCGCGTGTGTGGGTGTGTGTATTTGTGTGTGTATTTGTGTGTGTGTGTGTGTGTGTGTGTGTGTGTGTGTGTGTGTGTGTGTGTGTGTGTGTGTGTGTGTGTGTGTGTGTGTGTGTGTAAAATAGAGAGAGAAAAGGACAAAAAAAATGACACATACAACTGCCCTAAAGAATAAAACTCACCAGTCCTAGGAATTATCGCCCACGCCATCAACGCCGTGAACACGCCGCCCACTGCCCAGAACACCAGCAGCCACGACAGATGGCGCCCCCTCTCAGCCCGGGTCACAAACTCACAGTAATAGGCAAACACAATTGGAATCCCGCCGCCAATTCTGATACAAAGAGAGCGTGACGATAAAGCTATAGATTAAAGCACAAAAAATATAAATATTTGGTGATTAAGCACAAAAGAGACTGTATATCTCTTTGGTCGATTAGCGCAAAGAATTCTGCTATATCAAACTTTTTAATGCGTTACAGAAAGAAGTGTAATGATTGGTTTAGATCAGTGGCGTGCGGGCCATGAACCACTATGAACGTTTCGAATCTTAAAGTTTGATGATACACTATAACCAGAATATAATAGAGGTAGGTAGTGACTGAATGGTTAGTGTTTTGTTTACTTTATCGTTAATATATTAAAAAACAACAACTTAATAACTGCAAAATATCGACAGGTGAAAAATAGATCCAGACAAATATCACAGCCTCTCTCTCGTACCACTGAAGAAGGAGAGTGAGGAAAATACAGAACGAAAAAAAAAAGAAAGACACAGATATGTCCGTCATCATTACCCAATGCCAGAACAGAGTCTGGTCGTCATGAAGATCCCGTAGGTGGGCATGAAAGCTGTCATGACCCCAAACAAGGCATTCACAAACAGCGCCGACAGAAGAGCTCGCCGTCGCCCCACGTTGTCGCTCAAGCTGCCCCAGATCATCGCTCCGATCATCATGCCAATGAACGTGATGGCGGCTGGAAGGTGAAGGAAAGTGGGATTATTATTTTCCCTCCAGCTTAAGAAGGAGGGTTGGGGAGGGAGGGAGTCCAGTTGTCTGTGGAATGTGAGGGTGCGTATCGCATAGTCCAACGCGAGTCAAATGGATCGGGTTAGAATCTTCCTTGAATATTGAAACTCAGCAAGAAGCTAGCTTTTTTTTGTTTGTTTGTTTGTCAATTACCTTTACGAAAAAAATGTAAAAATACCCTAATCATCCCATCACAAACCAGCATATCAAAACGCACCTAGAATACATTAACAAAACCGAAACCTTCTTGGGAAAAAAAAATGAGAAAAACTCGACACGCAGCTTCACTCACCGAGCCAGCCTTTGTCAGTCCCGGACATACAAAGCTCCACCTCGGCTGACGGGATCACATACGCCACGACGAAGAGCTCGATGGTGTCAGCAGCGAGACCGAGGCCTGTGATCATGAGCAGGAGCCACTGGAAGGCCCCCGTGCCGGCCTGAAAGGGGGGGGGGGGGGGGGGCAGTGAGAGAGTTGTGATGGAAACAGGAACGTCAATGGGGGGGGGGGGTGCTTGGGAATATCTCCACCCAAAGATTCTGTTTGCTCCCCTCAAGGGCTGGCTTGCCGCCGCCCCACAAAGGACTACATTTTTTAGCCAACTAAATGACGCCGCTGGATAGGAAGCCCAGCAGGGAACTGACATCCTAATTACAAATACATTACTTGATTCTTGTTGTTAGCTTATAATTATTTTGTATTTTCATGTTAATAATTATGCACAATTTAGATTTGACGTGATTCATATTACTCTGCATAATTCAATAGTCTGGAGTAATGGATATTGTTGTATGTTGTATGTTTGCTGTTCTGATACGCCAAAGCCCCTAATTCTCAATTTTGTATTTTCTAAAATAACTTTTGTTTTTAGTTTCTGTTACGGAGGATAGGCATCTATTTAGATACTTCAAGACCTGAAATATCAGATATATTCTTCATTATAATATGATATAATAAGTAAATTCCATACGAATCAGACCAATCTGAACGGAAACAAAAGGCCTTTTCTCTCACCTGCCGCCACGCAAATACCCACCTGCTGTATGGCATCCTCGTGAAACTGCGAGAGGAGAGGCGCATCGCTCTCCACATAGTCCAGCTCATCTCCTCCATCAAGGTTCCCCTCCCCGCCTCCACCTCCTCCTCCTCCACGGCCACCACCTCCTCCAACCCCTCCTCCCCCTCCTCCGCCTCCACCTCCTCCACTTCCTCCCATCCCACCTTCGCTCTCCCTTAGCATTCCACCTTCAGACGTGTAGCTGCGACCTCCTCCACTGCCGTGACGCACCAGGGACGCGGACTCGAGCCCGTCTCCTCCTCCACTCATGATAACCCTGGTGACAAAAGGTAATCAATGGTAGTGGACAGAATGGTAATGGTAATGGACAGAAAGGCAATCAATGAATCACTGGAAATTACGAGATGGAGCTGGAACTTTTACGTCTGGCGGTGACTTTTATATGTATATGTAAAGTTTTTTATTAGGAGGAAATGATAACTTCCGCTTTTAAAGTTTTGAGATGAAAAGCACTGGCGTGAAAGAAAAAGCAAGTAAGAAATACATTGCCTATTTGGGTTTAAAGAAAAACTATTTTCTCTTACACTTAATACGGAATTGAATAGATAAATAATTATTTTCCTGTTTATTAGTTTATTATGCATCTGTATTGCGTTTATAAGGGATAAACATTATACTTATCATCATTAACAAAGAGAACGTTATATTATTGGGATAGATTTATGGAGCAGTTTATCACAGTTAAACAACGGAGTTTAAAATTAAGAAGGAAATCTTATGAAAGTACCTGTATATGTGTAGACATGAACCGTTCTTGATACAACGTCAGCACATACAAACTGTACAACAAGTCTAGTAATTCACAAAACTGTATATCATTTTAGATAAGAACCTTGAGAAAAATATGATGCTGACTTAGATAGATGGGAATTTGGTACTAATGATTACGAAGTGTAGAGATTGCATGTAATTCTGATTAGTGTTTTGAAATGATGAAAGAGGATTTTTTAATATTTGTGGTTCAAGTAGTGAATGATGTTATTTAAGAATAAAAAGGCATTTACGTTTGTGTGAAAAGGCACCAAAATATAAAATGAGTGTGTATGTGTGCATATGATAGCGTGTGCATTTTCTACATTATTTATGGAACGAACATCATCTAAAAATAAAGAACTTTATGACAACAAGTACAAATCATACCAGCTGTGATTTTTTTTCCATTTTCTACCACTTCCTCTTCCTTTTCTTCTTCTTTTTCTTCGTCTTCTTCTTCTTCTTTTACACGCAGACATATGACCTGGGAGATTATGTCCACCTGTTGTCTCCCCAATCTACATACTTGGCCTAACATCCCGTTTTTCAGTACTTCACATAGTCATTTATTCATAATCATCTGTATTCACTTCTCGGTTTATCGTTTGTATCTACTGCGGGCACCTTCATTTCCTATCTGCCCAGAGACCACGCCCCTTTTCCACATCTATGAAATGGCTGATTGGTTGATATACAGTGTTTGGGTTGCTATCCATATACGCACAGTGTGTTCGCAGCCTAAACTTACACCTGCTCAGCATGACAACGTAAAGTAAATGGTCACATGAAAACTTAAAGACACTTACACCATTAACGCTTTAGAGAGGATGTTAAAAGGCTTAACGTGGGTTACATTCCATCCAGCGTCAAGGGTATTATCACGGGTGTTTAAATAAAGCCTATTCATAATTTCGTTTTGTAACAAATATACCCTAAGGAGAAATAAATGAGACCAAGGATAATGCGCAATAAGCAGGAACCTATGGATTGTACAAGTTCAATACATTCCATGCTATTGTGAAATTGATAAAACTCTATAAATAGCCCGTATTCGAAGGGAGTGTAAATTGGTCAAAGGCTACGCACTATATATCTAAACCTTTCTGCTGCCGATGATACAAATAGTCGATATTCGTAAGCAATATACGATCTCAGGAGAGAAAATATGACAGTTACCAGCAGATGCTATATCTCCAGACGCTGTGGCTTCTCCTGGAACATTTTACATCCCTCCTTTTGAATAGTCTATTTATAGTTTCACCAAATATATAGCCATGAGAGATATTTATGAATTCCCAATGTTTAGTGTTATGCAGAAGAACGGGTGAAAAACGCATGGATTTTGCTTGGACATCAGATTAGAATTTAGGGGGAATGGAAACAGAATAACCGAACTCGCTAATTAAGTCCCACGTGACTCATAAGGCTAGAAATTATTTATGATGTAATAAGTATCAGAAATAATAAGTCCCCCCAGTGGAATTCTTTCGGAAACGTGTCAGTTCATTGTTGTTTGTGTGCATTGTTGTTGTTAATATTATTACTAATGTCATCGTCGTTAGGATTATTATGAGTGATAATGATTATATAACTATCATTATTATTATTGTTATTATTACTATTGTTATCATTTTCATAATAAACACACACATACATACACATACACAAAGACACACACACACACACACACACACACACACACACACACACACACACACACACACACACACACACACACACACACACATACATACATACATACATGCATATTTATATACATACATATATATATATATATATATATATATATATATATATATATATATATATATATATAATATATATCAATGGATAGATATGTGCGACTCTCCAATTCTGAATTTATAAATCTTTAATGGTGTTGATAATTGGTTTTAAGCCTAAGCCAGTAACTACCAGAAATATAAAAAGCTTTAGGTTAGAAATGTGTGTTCAGTTATTTCTAAATTGAATAATAATTATAATAATCAATTAATTATAAAAAAACGCGAGATAATGCAAATATTCAGGAGTTGATGATGATGATAACACCACCATTGTTGTTAATAATGATAACCGCAATCGCTAAGATAATAATAATATAGTATTTGTGTCTGTAATGATAACCGCAGTCATTAAGTTAACAATACTATAGAATTTATGTCATTAATGATAACCGCAGTCATTAAAATAATAATACTATAGAATTTATGTCTGTTTCGAAGACCGCATAAAACACGGCAACACGGCAGGATCCTCAGCCCGAGCTTCCCCTCAGACCTTCCCCATCGCCGGGCAACGAGGGACAGGAAAAAACTCACCACACGGAGATGGAGTTTGGGGAGTGAGGCACCAGGAAGGTCGGGACGTTCCTCGAGAGGAGACGCGACCCACAGCGCCTCCTTCCCCGCAGCGAAGGGAGTCGGATCATGTTCCTAATTGGGGTTTCTATCATCACAGGTGTCAGCTGCGTGACCTCGGGGGATAAAACGAGGTCGTGGTCCGCTTCGATTTCTTCCCTCTCTGGCGGGAATGGCGAGCGGGAGAGGGAAGTGCTCGAGCCGAGACATGTGGAAACTTGGGTTTGGTTTGTGAAACTTTGGTTCGCGTAGAGGGCCTCGTCCAAGCGCAAAGCCTGCCTGAGTGTTCGGCCGTTGTGTCGGCGTGAGGTCAGGGGTCGTCGGGCCACGTCCTCCTGCGATGCCCGAGGTTCGCGTGGTTCCTCCTGCGCGGAATCAACAGTCACTGGCTCTACGGCGTGGTGGGTCGCGTCCTCTGGTGCCGTTTTTTCCCTGGCGACTCGTATTTCCTGGCGAAGGTCATGGAGACTCGCTTGTTCCGGAGTGGCGGTGCTTTCAGGCGTTTGCCCTTCATCATGGCACTTATCTGCTTCTCTCATGTGTCGAGCCATGAGGTCAGGCAAAGCAGCATCGTAAATCGTGGGCTCTGACACGTATATCAGCGAAATTTCTGTCGTAATTTCGTGTTGTAAGATACCAGGGTGCAAATTTCCTTCTTAGGGATTTCAAAGCGAACTTTAATTCTGACACAGTTCTTCTTTGGAGTCTGTATTTCAGAGTATTACTACATTTTATACAAACTATAACGTTCTTTGTGCATTTACCGGAAATTTCATCCCTGCAGTTATGGACTATAGGCACAACAGACTCGCATGCTTAGTGTTCGATCACATTAACCACCGCATTTCTAAAAGGGCTTCAAAAAACCCTTCGAAATCGCTTCTGGACACAATCAATCCACAAACCAAAACGAGACTTTCCGTTTAACTTTCGCGTCCTTATTTTCGTCCTTATTTTCCCACCAAACAGAAGCAAAGAGAGAGAAGAGAAGATCCCAGCTCGTGAGGGAACGACTGCACTGTTGCGTGTGGCGATGCCTTCCGTCTTCGACCTCCCTCCCTATGCCGCAGCAGACACGCACCGCCGACGCTTTGTAGAGAAGTCTCCCCGAGAAAGTAAACAAAGAAAATGGGACGACGACACACTCTTCGTGACGATGATTATTCATTGATTTTCGCTTTTCATAACCGCTCGTAATTTTCAACAATTAAGTGGATTCCGATGGCGTTACGTCATTCATTCTCCTCAACTATTACTACATGACAATATGAGTCGTGAAATGCGAGATATCAAATGACTAACTTTCATCATCGAGTATATCAGATATTAGACCTAATTAACTTCTATCAACAAGCAAGCAGTACTTTTGAAACAAGCAGAAGTAAAATCACTACCATGAAGTAGTTATGCAAGGTCGGAGATTTGCATACAAGGTCACAGGGAATCACGCAAAGGTCTTTCATCAACACATAAGTGTGTGTGTGCGTGTGTGTGTGCATGTATGTGTGTGTGTGTGTGTGTGTGTGTGTGTGTGTGTGTGTGTGTGTGTGTGTGTGTGTGTGTGTGTGTGTGTGTGTGTGTGTGTGTATGTGTGTCTGTGTGTACGCGCGCATACGTGTGTGTGTGTGTGTGTGTGTGTGTGTGTGTGTGTGTGTGTGTGTGTGTGTTAGTGTGTGTATGTGTGTCTGTGTGTACGCGCGCATACGTGTGTGTGTGTGTGTGTGTGTGTGTGTGTGTGTGTGTGTGTGTGTGTGTGTGTGTGTGTTAGTGTGTGTATGTGTGTCTGTGTGTACGCGCGCATACGTGTGTGTGTGTGTGTGTGTGTGTGTGTGTGTGTGTGTGTGTGTGTGTGTGTGTGTGTGTGTGTGTGTGTGTGTGTGTGTGTGTGTGTGTACGTGCGCGCGTGTGTGTGTGTTTGTGCGTTTCTGTCTGGCTGTGAATACACACACACCTTGCAGAGCGAGTATTGAGTGCTACACCGTCCGGGTTAGAGTTTCTTCATCTCCTTATTTCAGTCATTAATTACTTCCTAAACCATATGTTTTCGAAAGCTATAACATGCAATATATCAAAGTCAAATCACCTGTATATTCCTGCTTTAAGTCACATTTACGTAAAAACAAACGATTAAAACGATAATTATGGATAAACAAATGACAGTAAAATATGTCAACCTGATAACTTTGTTTACATGATATTAATGCGCAGAAGGGACGGTTCTCTGCATCTAATATAATCTCGTATCATCAAAACATCGAGAATTATACTTTTGCCACCATCATCATCATTAATATTTCGCCATCGCTATCCTTATGGTGATAAAATTCTTCAATTGTTTTTTGAATAGTCACCGGATGGCATATTGTTCGAAAGGGTTTGAGCGATTCGGGCGCATTCGAAGCCGTTGGAACGAACGAAACACAGCAGAATTATGCAGAAAGCACTGGTATTAGTACGTAACCTTGCCTAAAAATAACTTTCTCGAAAACAAATATCATTTTCAAATGCACTGAGATTATTACGAAGGAAGTGAGGATAGCGATGGATACAGAGAAGTGGAGATAGAAGTCTGTAGCTCAGAAGATGAGAAGCTGTTTCGGATATTTCTTTAAACCCCATTTATTTTAGAGTAGACTAACCTCTTATTTCAAAGCGAATGAGAGCAGTATAATTGCTAATTTCTTCCCTTCAGTATATCTTTTAATATCGCCTTCTACGTGGGCAACAGTGACAAAAGATTATAATGATAAGCCAAAATATATTTTTTTTATAGACATGTGGTTCGTCTCTTAGTCCATAATATTATAACTAGTCATATTGCACCATGAGGTTTAGAGGAAGAATGATATATTTGAGAGTGCATTTACCGGCGTCGCCTTTTGTTAAGGAGTCTCCATTTTCGGTGAATTATTGAGCCTCCATCCACCCTACCCCCCCTCCCTCCCGAAATTTCCAAAATTACCCCAAATTTTCCAAAATTGACCCAAAACTTCCAAAATTACCCCCACATTTTCCCTCGGACAGTTGAGGTAGTTTATTCCCACGTCCATTGTTTTTAATCTAGTTTACTGATTGTATAGAGAGATGGTTTCACGAGTGCTTAATCACCAATAAGCTAGTTATTAGTCCTGCCTATCTCTCCTGTTTACCCTTTTCCCCTTAAGAAAAGATTCTGTTTTACTGCTTCTGGAATTTCACCAACTTTCTTAGAGTGATGATGTCAATGATAATAATTATATCGATATTGATAGCCTTAAAAAAAAACAAGTCTCAGATAAACGGCGGGAAATGTTAAGTAAGTGGGTGAATGAGAGGGAGAGAGAGAGAGAGAGAAGGAGAAAGAGAGAAAGAGAGAGAGAGAGATTTTTTTTTAAGTTCAGTTTTGAAGATAAAGAGGGAAGAGAGAGGAAATAAGATAAAGATTAAGATAACTTAGACGGTATCAATTTTTTGCGCCTAATAAGGGAAACGGTAAATAATATTTCTGAAGGCAAGGAAACATCTGATAATGGGAAAGATGGTAAAGAAAACGTGATTACAAATAACCTTTTGATGTAAATAAGAGATTTTGGGGCAAAAGGGAGGGAGAGAGGGAGAGAGAGAGAGAGAGAGAGAGAGAGAGAGAGAGAGAGAGAGAGAGAGAGAGAGAGAGAGAGAGAGCGACAGAAAGAAAGAAAGACAGGCAGACTGAAGAAAGTACAGAAGTAAAGAAAAAGAGAAGTGAAAAGTACAGAGAGGGAAGAGTGAGAGAAAAATAAAGAGAGATGAAGAGAGAGAGAGAGAAGAAAGAGATTGGGAGAGAGAGAGAGAAAGAAAGAAAGAGAGAGAGAGAGAGAAGAGAAAAGGAAAGAGACAGAGACAGAGGCAGAGAGAGAGAAGAAGAAGAAGAAGAAGAAGGCAAAAGATTCCACTCGAGAACAAGTCGCAGCCACGTGACAAAAGAAGTGCGTCATGCGCTGGTCCTCTCTTCACCCTCGACTCAACGGCGCAGAAGAGTTATTTAACCTGTTTACATTTCCCAATACAAGGATCACATGAATGAAAAGAGAGAGAAAAATTAACATAAAAGTTTCATACAAATGAAAAGAAAAAGAAACTAATGTAACACAAGAAGTCTAAGTATCACACGAGCTAACGAATTGCTGTATCACAAACTGAGACAAAAATTGGTATCACTCTCACACAAGAAAAAAATGTATATATATGAATATAATAATAATGATAATAACAATGATAATAATAATAATGATAATAATAATAACAATGATAATCAAGTGCCACAAAAAACAACAACTGCTGTATAGAGCTTAAATATGATATAAATTAATTAAAAACTTTAATATCACCAAAACAAACAACTCCAGTGCCACACAATCAAGCACTTCAAAGAGAGAAGAGAAAGGAAAAAATAAAGATAACGAGAGAGAGAGAGGGGGGGAGTGAGAGAGAGAGAGGGGGGGGGGGTGAGAGAGAGAGGAGTGAGAGAGAAAGATAGAATGAGAAAGAGAGAGAGGGGGGGGGGGTGAGAGAGAGAGAGAAGTGAGAGAGAGAGGGGGAAGGGGGAAGGAGAGAGAGGGAGAAGGAGTTGCAGACAGAGAGAGGAGGGAGTGAGAGAGAGAGAGAGAGAGAGTGGGAGAGGAGAGAGAAAGAGAGAAGAGAGAGAGAGAGAGAGAGAGGGGGGGGGGGGGAAGGAGAGAGAGAGGGAGAGGGAGAAGGAGTTGCAGACAGAGAGAGAAAGAGGGGGGGGGGGGGAGAGAGAGAGAGAGAGGAGGGGAGAGAGAGAGAGGAGAGAGAGAGAGAGAGGGGAGTGGTAGAGAGAGAGAGCGAGAGAGAGAGAGAGAGGGGAGTGAGTGAGAGAGGGGGGGGAAGGAGAGAGAGAGGGAGAGGGAGAAGGAGTTGCAGACAGAGAGAGAAAGAGGGGGGGGGGGAGAGAGAGAGAGAGAGAGAGAGAGAGAGGGGCGTGAGAGAGAGAGGGAAAGAGAGAGAGAGAGAGGGGAGTGAGAGAGAGAGAGAGAGAGAGAGAGGGGAGAGAGAGAGAGGGAAAGAGAGAGAGAGAGAGAGTGGTAAAATACGATATAAGAGAAACATGAGGAAGCTGAGGATGATGATAGTTATTATGATCCATATGTTTCCAGTTTTATAGATTCCAAACTTTTAAAGATATCAAACTTATTATTCTTTTATCATGTCAGCTAACCAAACCCATGTTTGAATTAACCATTTTTTCTCCTTCACTTTGATTACACAAAAGAAACTGAATTAGTATTTGAGTTCATTTGGAAATTAATAATGAATTATCTTGAAGATGCTCTGAATTATAGACTGTTAATTGAGTTTATGATTGAACACAGAAAATATTTTAATACTTCTGTTTTAAGATATTTTTTCCTTCCTTAATTTTGACAAAAGTTGATTTTTTTCTTTCCTGATTTTGAGTAAAAGAGCATTTTTTCCCACTTTCTTGACACAGTGCGATATTTTTTTATTCACTTTGATTTCCTCCCCCAAAAATATGACTTAATTAAAATGCACATTCCTTTCCCTTTTTCTTTCTATTTTGACATAAAATCCGCCTTTTCCCCGATTTTTTTTTTTTTTTTTCTTGAATTGTACTTTTTTCCTCCCTGATTCTGACTAAAAGAGAATTTCTAG